ATATTTCTTATTATATTTTATCTAGTTATTTCTTAATTAATAAATATAAGATAGAGATTTATTTATATATAAATTTTATAGATTATATTTATATAAAATTTAAATTTTTTATTTTTATAATTAAAATTTATTAAAATTTATTAAATAAAAAAGTAATTATTTTTAATAAATATGATTAAATTTTAATCATTAAAAAATAAAAAATATAATTTATTGAAGATTTTGTATAAATATAATATATAAAATTCATATGTAAATAAATCTTTACTTATATACTAAATATTCTAATAGTATTTATCAATTGAATATAATATATGGAGTAAAAATATGGAGGACAAAAATTTGAGATAAAAATTTGAGGCCAATGACATGGTTTACGACACATCTTAATTGATGCATATAATATTATAAATTTTTAAAAAATAAAAAAGTCAATTATTAAAAGATATAGGTTTCACATTATTCTAGATTTTGATCCTAAATTTTAGTTTTATTTATTATTATTTTACTATATAATTTATTAAAAAATTACTTTATTTGTTTATTTTTAATAAATTTAATTTAATTTTTTAATTTTTAAAATATAAATTTTAGATAAAAATTTAATAATCTATATGAACAATAATTAAAATTTTTTATCAAATAAAAATATTTAAAAAGAACTATATATAGAGACAAAATTTTTAATTATTATTTATATAAATTATTAAATTTTTATTTAAGATTTATATTTTAAAAATTAAAAAATTTAATTAAATTTATAAAAAAAAATTAAAAAAATTTAATAAAATAATTATTCTTAAAATATGTGTAAATTTAAGAAATCATTTTCCTTTTTAAAGTTTTGGTTTTATTACCTACACCATTGCAAATTATAAAACAGTTTTTGAAAAACACAAATAAAAAACAAAAAGATAATGACCCGACATCCATATCAATGAAGCCGCAGTTGGTATGTCCATGAGAAAATGAAAAAGAAATTGTAATTATTGGTTGTCCGAATTTGTATGATGAATAGCACGGGGAACATCCAATGCAATTCCACAAGCCACGTTCATTTATTTCAACTTTATTGGTATTGATATAAAAAATGAATGTGTTTTTAAATATTTATTTTTAAAATATAAGTTAAAAAATTTTTATTATTAATTTATATTAAAAAATAAAAATTAATTTTTAATTTATTTAGAATTTAATTATTGATCTATATAATAATAATAATAAAATTAATATCAATTTTTATATTATATATAGTTAAAATAAAATTGTATTCCTATTTTATACCTTAAAATTAAGGGTGTATATTAAAAAATTTAGAATACAAATAAAAATATTTTAATATTTTGTCAACAATTTATATAATTTTGTGACTATCTCTTTTCGCTTGAAATAAGAGTTCTGAATTTAAATTGCATGACATGCGAGTGAGATATGATAAAGGATGAAAGATGATTAACTCACATTGTGCATCCAAGATAAAAAAATATATATTTTAAATCTCAACATTTTTTATAAAATTATATGGATATTTGAATAAATTTTTTTATTAATTTATTAATAATATTTTAATTTTTTATTATTAATCTTAACATTATAATTATTAACATATCTTAATTTTCCTCCATTTAAAAAACTCTATTAGTACAAAAAAAGAAAAAGAAAAAAGTGAGGAAAGTAGAATGAAATGACTTTCTTAATTTCTTGGCCTTCCGCTTTGAACCTAGTCTTTTGGAGAAACCGCGTGGTGGGATCAATTAATGAAAAGACCAAACACCTAAGTTTCACATGTTCGTTTCTCTGCCAAAACCAAAGCTCAATCTTACAACCCTTTCCTGCGAACTGATCACCCATCGATTCCACTCTAAAGACTCTTTTCCTTTGCATGCAATAGATCTTATTTTCTTGTTCCAACATTGAACATTATAAAGGAAATCCAATGCTAGAAAGGTCCTATTATATATTCCCTTAAGATGCATCTCATTTTATTTGGTTTATACATCCGGCTTTTCTTGAAATTATGAAATGATTTTAACAACTACTAACAATTATTGCCCTTTTGCCTTGTTTTTGGTACTGAAACCAGGTGGGGTGGCATCAAACGAAGAGGAACGTTCACTCAACTAAAATCAAAGCACCATCCAAACTTACCACTCTTCTTTTTGATCTTGTTTGAACTTCGAAGGCATCTCCCCTTCTTTTAGCATTGGAAGGTACTTATTTTATATTTACATATGTGCTGCTGATTTTAGTTTCATATACATGTCTGCCTTTTTCTTCTTTTCATCTTTTCAAATATTGCCGCTGCTTTCCTCGAGTTCTGAATCAAATTTGCTGAATTTAATTTGATTAGATGCAAATATTTCTTGTTATTTTTTATTTAGTTATTTCTTAATTTCATCAGGGAAGAATTTTTTTTTAAGATTTTATTTCTTATCTTGTTAGTATTTTTTTAGGAATTATCTTTTTTTTAATTAAATCTACTTAGTTTAATTTCATAGATACAATTATTTCTTGCTCTTTTTGTTAGTTTTTAGTTATTTCTGAATTTCATTAGGGACAGACAAGAAAAAAACATTTTTAGATTTTATTTAGTTTCTTATCTTGTTATTTTTTAATTTTGTTATAGACATATAAATCATATAATATGGAAATTTCAAAACAACATGCTAATATATGATAACTGGATAAATTAGAGACTCCTACAAATGATCAGCCACATAATTTTTTTGCAAAATAAGGTTGATTACATTTTTTTATTTTTTTGTATTTTTAAATAAGTTATACAATAAAAAATAATTCTCTATTTTTTCTAAATTCTTCTTCATTTGACTTAAGTTCAAATTTAAAATTTCAAAATTTAAAATATTAATTCAATACAACCATGCCTTTTAAGGTGGTTGAGTACATTCATGATAAGTTGAAAGACTCTCCTTTTCTTTCCTTTCCTTTCTCCAACCACTTTGATTTGTTGATTTCACATTCACAGACATCAAATTGACTCTATTTGGCCCCTAATCTCTAATTTGAAAATTGAGTCCCTGTTTCTTATCTCTCATTATTTACTCTTTTGTTTCTTTCTCTAAAACCTCCTTTCTATCTCTCTCATCACTCACTATTTGCCCATATCTCTCACTTCAGATTTCACATTGAATTTACGAAAGTGGCTCCAATAGTGTGCTTGCTGTATCAACTCTGTTTTGGGGGATTGTGGTTTTTTCTTTTTGACCCTAAACCCTCGTTCCCTAATATTTATCTCTCCATTTTCAAAAAAAAAAAAAAAACCATCACTCCGTATTTAAAATCACCTTTTTACCCCTCAATTTCCTTTTGTAACTTTCCTGGATTAGGTAGTGAGGGACAAAATAGTTATTTAAATATTAAACCATTCTTTCTTCTTTTCTATACCTGGCATTTAAGGGTCTGTGTTTCAAACTTTTTCCTTTTCTGCTTTACACCGGTCA